TGTGTTCATCCAGCTCTACACCTTGTTATTTCAGATTCTCCAGCATCTGCAGTTCCTACTATCTCTAATTATAAATATTTGTCAGTTTTGACTAATTGCAAAAATATATCTTCAGTTGGTTGTTTGGTTTCAAAACAAAATTTAAGAATTCTCGAAGTCTAATATCAAAGTTCTGCTGTAAATCTTTGCTTTGTAACATAATAGATGAGCTGAGCTGATGAAACACTGCCAGAAGGGCAAGCTTAATTATGAAAATTGTTGAAACTGAGACATTTTTATTACTTTAAAATAACTTTAAATTGTTGGAAAAATTGTTTAATATTTCTTTAGCATAAATAATTTCTGGGAGTTTGTCTTTGATGCTTTCATTTCAACTCATGTCTTGATAAACCTGAAGTGATTTTGTAGCTTGAGGAATGTTAGTTTGCTATTTGACTATCAGTCAAAAGTAATACTCCATTCCTTACTGTGTGTATGTAAGGGAAGGTAAAGTTGCCATAGTTCTGACAGACCATAGGCTGCTCTCTCATTAGAGAGAGATGATTGATGATGGTTTAACAAGTGGGTCACCACACCTCGGGTAAGGTTAAGAAAGTAGGACCCTCATTGTGACCTCAGCCAGTATGGTAACTGAACCAGCACTGTTGGCATCACTCTGCTTTGCAAACCAACCGCCCAGCCAACTGAGATAAACATTTAATTATTTGTAGTGGCCTTATCCCAAATTTGAAATGCTCTGCAAGATGCTAAGGACTGAGGTGATTGGATTGGTTACTATCCTGTATCAGCAGAGAGGATTATTTTCTTTTCAGCCCTTTCTGCTTATAACCTAGGTGCCTGATACATCGGTGTATATTATCAAGGTTTCTGTAGCCAGAGATAAGATGGAAAGCGTTCTTGCCTGGCCTATTGTTAGGGTAGAAATACAAGGTAGCTGAAGTAATTAGTGCATAATGCATTAAAACATAGAAAATGGGAACATGTGTACACCATTCAGTTCATCCAACTCAGTACCCTGTTCCCACTTTCTCCTTGTACCCTCTGACCCTTTTAGCCCTAAGAACTATATCCAACTCCTCCTTGGAAACATTCATTGTTTTGGCCTCAATCACTTTCTGTGGTACACAATTCCACAGGCAGTGTAAGTGAATCATCATCCCAGATATTTGATTTTTTTTTTGAAAGAGATACCTGCACATTTTTTAAAAAAATCTATTCATGGATAGCTGAATTCATTTATTCATTATCACCCTGCTTAATATTAGGACTGTATCCCTGTAGAATCATAAGATAATACAGTGCAGAACAGGGTTGTTTGGCTCACTGTATCTGCTTTGTCTCTATCAAAAAAATATTCCAGTTGGTCCTGCATCCTCACTTGTTTCCAAAAACATCAATTCTTGAAGGAGAAAGAATCAAAGTTGTGAACTCCTATTCCTATGTATAAGATAATACTTCACACATTGTTTCATGATACCTCAGCTGCCACTATTCTGTTTCCTTTGGCCATTTCTGCTTCACAGTTCACTTTTTCATTCGTCAATTCTAGGACCATTGGTAAATATAAAGAAGTGAGTTCTGAAAGGAATAAAATGCTTGATATGTGCACCTTTTTATTTTATTTTTTGCTTACTCTTGGTAAATGGAATGTGCTGTGATTTTTTTTAAATGATTTTAAAAAAAAAAAATCATTCATGGGATGTGGGTATCACTAGCTGGACCAACATTTAGTCATTACATATGTATTTACACTACAGTTGAGTACGTATTTTCCTTACTTTCCAGAACTTGATAATTCTGAGATGAACGAAAGATTCAAATTTAGCATTGGGACAAGAATTCCAGAGGTATGTGACCGTCTCAAAGATGTTGTGTTCTCTCCATTTTACTTCTGGTAACTCTTCACAGTGGTCACTATTTTTACAAAAATGCAATGAGAAAAGGGTATTCAGTCAATGAGACCTGTTTCTGTTGCTAGCCATGTATGATCTATTCTATCATATCTCTCTAACTCATCTGGATTCTGAAAGCATTCTACATAAATTCCATCTATTCTTCAATGTTAACATAACTACTTGCATCAACCCTGAACATGTAATCATTGTTAGGATCTTGAAATACTTAGACCTCTGACTTGCCTTAGTTGGTAGCATTCTTGTGGAAATGTGGAGAAGAAAATAACTTGTACAACACTGAAAAGGTATTGCTAAAGGGTAACTTCTATATAGTCAACTTTTTTTGATTAACACATGTTTAAAATGTATTAAATGCTCAATAAAAGTACTTCCGAACTAATATTATAAATCTGGATGTTTATCACTTGCAAAAAGTTATGTGTAAATTTTATCTAAAATTAAAATTTCTGCAAAAATTGTTGAATTAACATTGGATTTTGGTGATGTTCTTTATTGTAGATAATTGGACAGAAGATATGTCACCTCTGGGATCATCCAGTCAGTTCATCCTGTTTTGCTAGGATCCATGTGAAAACACTCCTTACTGAACTTTACACCCATCAGGTGAACAGTAAAGTTTGTTTATGCATACATAAGAATCTACTGTTTAACTTTTTGTTCAGTGTGCTACATCCTCTCAATATGTGTACGTCATCATACTTGGAATCCAAATCGAACTGTTGTGGGTAAAATTTGTTCTCCGCCTATTGACTGCACATACATACGTACAATTGTGCACACACATTGATATAGACCTACGTGCAAACACAGTTACTTATTTGAAGGATGCATTGGACTTAGCAGCATCCAGAAAGTTTAGGCATAATTTGCCCATAGTGTCCAGGGATGTGCAGGCTAGGTGGGTTAGACATAGGGAATATGGGGTTACAGGGACGGGTTGGGTGTGGATTTGGGTGAAGTGCACTTCAGGGTGTTGGTGTGGACTTGGTGGGCCGACTGGCCTGTTTCCACACTGCGGGGATTCTATGATTCTGGGATTATAACTTAACAGGTTTGGGAACCCCTCTCAAATGTTCAGGGCATTGCTGGCTAAAATAGCAGTGCTAAATGGATCATAGGCATACGAATGCTGCTTTCTCAGTTGGATCACTCTGGCTTTCAGAGTTATATGAAGCTGGGTCGGAGAAGAATCTGAGCTACCAGTAAGGAATGAATAACTGCAGGCTAGCATGTCATCCAGCTGCAGTGTCTTAAATCATTACAGTCATAATTTACATTGTGAAATCTTCTTTTGCAATTGTTGACTTGGTACGAGAGAGTCTGTCTACATGAAACTCACTGAGAATAGACATTAGTTCAGCACACTTATATTTTCTTGCTTTTTGTGAGCTGAATTTATGGTGAGGGTTAGGTCTGTTTTCTTCACTCTTGTCACCCAGTTGTAGTATTCCCAAGTAAGCTGCAGTGGGGATTCCATGAACAACAATGCTTCCTCAGGCTCATCCTCGGCAAAATATTACTTCATCGGTTTTGATTCTAATTTCAAGTTTAGTTGTTTGAATTATTTTTCTGAATGTAATTGCCAACTAATGGAAAATTACAGATGGTTCTGGTGTTATTGCCTAATATCTACTAGTAGCTACTAAAATGTAATTCTTTGGTATTCTGAGGTTTATGTTGGGACTTGGGAATAATTTGGGTTGGAGTGAAAGGACAATTCATTGTACATTTGATATGACTTGAAAATGCTTGATTCTCTTCTAAAATGGCCAAAGTGAATAAACAGGAGTCATTTAATCTGCAAAGGTGAAAATCCTGCCATGGACTATATGGGTTTTGTAGAAAAGAATTTAAGATTGTATGTATGTTTTATGCAGATATCTTTTTTAATTTTTCAGTGATTGCAATTTCTAAGTATTTCTTATTTTAACGTTTTTGCTCTTCGATCCATACATACAGTAGCCCAGAACATTCAATTCTTAAATAATTAGAATCTTAGGAATTGATTTCTGCTTAATTTGGCTTAGTGCTCACAAGTGTAGGACAAATGTGTCGACACATTCATCAGTTGGCAGTGTAATTTTTACCATAATTTACTTTGACTGAAAGATAGAAAATAATACCTTAAGTCCTGATATTTGACAGCCATGTACTTTTGCATTGACTTAACTGGAACAACTATTTTAATATTTATTTATAAATTTGCAATCAAACAAGTTTTCCATACAGTTAAAATACACTAGTAATTTTCTTTTTTGGGGTCAATTTCTTTTCAGAAATCAAGAGATTTTTCCATAAAGGAGCAGGCTCCATTTGAGTCTGAATTTTTGCCACTGACTTGCCTAACAAGAGTCTTAACAGAGGTAGAGGAACAAGGTAAGGATAACTACACGTAACAAAAGAAAAATACTGAGGTTGCTAGAAATAAAAAAAAAAAAAATTCTGTGAGTCAAGCAATATTTATGGAGAGAGAAGTGAAGTTAACATTTAGTGTTGGATATGCAATATTTGCAGAATTTTTAGGTTTTATGATTTATAAGATTTAATCTAACCTCCTGAAAATGTATGCTAATCTCTTTTTGTTTTAAAGTCAACAATCAAGGTCTCGTTTAACAGTAGAAGCTTCCTATGCAAGTTTTATATTTCTTTAGGTTGTTAATTTAATATTCCAATCCAAGAATGTGGAATAAACTTGAGGGATGTGTGCAGCCAGTTTAATAACTTTAATCTGTAATTTGTATTTAAGGCTGAATATGACTTATGATTGATGATTACTTCTCTGATTTGCATTGCTTCTATATCTACAACGATAAAATTGCTTCACTCCTGTCCTCTGATAACTAAGATTTACACTTCTGCATAATGAAACTGATGCTGTTTTACCTAAAATTTCACTGACTGGTCCAACTTTAGGACTGAAATAATTTGCAATCGAATAAAACTATATCATACCCTTAGGATGTCTGATAGTGCTAATAATCAGTTTAATTACTTTTGAAATGTAGCTACGTATTCAGGAAATGTGATAGCTGGTTGTAAAGATCAAGGTCCCACAAAGGGAGAGAAAAACATGGTTTATCTGTTTTTTTTCTTTTGTGATGTCACTTCATTGACATGTGTTAGCCAGAATATCAGGAGAACATGCTCGTTTCCAATAGAGCATTTAGAATCCCTAATCTCACCTGAACAGGCAGCCAGAACCCTGTTTTGACATCTCATTCAAAAGATAACATTGTCTGCATTGCGATATTCAATATTGTGCTTGAATGTCTCCCTGTGTTTTATATATGAATCCTGGACTAAATATTGAATCCTTTAGACATCAATAATTTTTTAAGAAACCATTTTGAGATGGAGAATATATTTTCACTGCTTATTTTGAAAATATTGAATATATCCCCTTTGGTGTGCTGTTCTCACGTCCCAATTATGTCAAAGATCTGAGCAAAGATAGGATCTGTGCATTCTGTTGTAATGTTAATACAATGTTTACAGACAAAATAGTTTCATTTCACAAATACAAATGTATTTATCTCTTCAGATAGTACAAATCTCATAAGGTTTCCTCATCATGCTAGTCTAAAGGCTGACTGAATAAATCAGACGATAACAGCTTTCTGACTCTTGCTGTCTAGGATCACACACATGTGGGTGAGCACTGGAAACAGCACACTAAAATGGGTTGTTGCTTTCAGAAGAGGAGACAATGAAAATAAAACCTTATTTTATCCCTGATCACAAGGACAAGCACACAACTGCTTACAAACTTTATTCTATGCTGCTGTGTTATACAGCAGATTCCCAAACAACCTACCCAAATTCTAGAATGATCCCCATGGATTGGTTGGCAGCAAATTTAACCTCTCTGCTCAAGAAAGCAGGAAGAGAGGAAACTGACCAGTTGTAAGGAAAATGCTGGAATCTGTTCAGGATATGGTAACCGAATACTTGGAAAGTTGCAATATGATCAGGCAGAGTCAACGATTTTATCACAGGGATAACATAGTTGGTATATGTGTTTATTTTTGAGAATGTAACTATCAAGGTATAAAGCAAGAACTGATGGCCATATATCATAAATTTTCTGAAGATATTCTAGAAGGTGCCATTGAAAAAGACTATCACACAAGGTTAGGGATATGGAATTTGGAGTAACACATTAGCATAACTATCATCTCCTCTAATACAATATAAATATTTACTTTCCCCTTAAATTGGTATTCTTGCAAGTTATCCTCATGAATGTAAGATGAAAATCTGTCCTTTCTCAGCAGTACTCAAGTTTAGAAGATTTCTGGTGATCTGATTGAACCCTGTCAGCTCCTGTAAGAATTTTATATTTTGATAGGCTGTTTTTCCTTATTAAAGAGTCTAGAACCAGTAGGACTGGATTTTTATCCTGAGTTTGATGAAATGCAAGTCAGGCAGTTCTCAACTTCACCAACCTGAATCCATCATTTCCTCCCATACCCATCATATTTTTATCCTGTTGAGACATGGTCAGGTAACATTCACAATTCTGTGTCCTGAGGCAGAATGAAAAATACAGGTGCTGAGCTAGGTAGTTAGAAAGCCTGCCTGGGTTCTTGGGATGTCAGCCCAGCTCTCTCAGGAGAAGGTAGGGTGGGATGGGGGAGGGGGTGTGAAATGACATCAGGAATGTCAGTGCCAGATGCATGACGCCACTGAGTGAGAGAGACAGTTTACTTCAGGAGCTGATGTCTGGTGTAGGAACCATTTGGAATGGCCCTGCATGGATAAGAGGCATGGTCGATGTGAGATCAGGTCCAGTGACATATAAAGTTCATGTAGGTGTGACAGTCCTGAACAAGCATGTGGACCATATGATAGCTGCAAACAGTGTGGGAGGAAAATGTGCCTGGCTCCTCAACAGCCTTTCCGACTGTTCTGGAAACTGTGAGTTCTCCTCTCCATCAAGCGTTGAAGGTACCTTGAAATTTGAGATAAACACAGCAGATATCACTGTCTCAACGCCTGTGATGCCTGATGAAGAAAATTAATTTCTTCAGAGACACTCTGTGTTACATGCTGCATATTTCAGAGGCAGAGTTAGAAGAACCTGATCCGGTGCTAAAACACACCAGGAACTGGCCTATGTCCTCAGACTCAGAGGAAGAAGGATGTAGTGATTGTAATGAGATCTGCCAGTTGGACCTCATAAAATGAGTGCTCCGATTGGGGCTGTTAATCTGATCCAATCAGGGAACTCAAACTGACAGATAAGAACAGGAGTGCCAGACATCCTTTTCACTCTGAGAGCCAGCTCTGAGGGAGCTGAATCAGTATCAAGGACTCTCCATGTGTAAATAAAGGGTGACGTGGTGACAGAATACCGGCCTCTGTGGAATTATTTCAACAAATACTTAATAACCTCTTAAAACTGTCAATTAAATTGTACATTAAAATTACCCACTGAGTGAAGTGCTTTATTCGCTTTTGAAACTCAACTAAGCCTTCATAATGGCGTCAGCTGTTCAAATGGACCATTATAGCTGTGGTCAATAAAGCCTATTGAAACTGAAAACTAGGTATTTTTTCTGAAGCTGCACCAGATGGTTTTTAACTGAATGCAGACTAGAAGCAGGTCAGTTTATTTCAAAGTTTAAATTTGTGGATTTTGAAAGATTACACTTCAGATTATAACACGAGTTTCCAGACAGTTTTCTACAATTTTGAATGATTAGTAGCAATTGATGAAAAAGCTCAAATGGATCACCACCCTTAGACAATGCTTATCAATATAATGGTCAACAGACCTTGTAAGTCTGCCTCTTCAGAAAAAAAGCCCTGTGGTGAATCACTGCAGCTAAAACATGTCTAATTTATACATCTAATTTTAAAAAATCGAAAATTGACACTTGATGTCATCTAAACATGTAACATTGCCTGTAAAAGTTTTTCCTGTTCTTCCAGCAGACTTTTGTCTCCAAACTCTCTCCTGGAAAGTTTTTTACAATGGCTTCCAAAACCTGCTCCTGATTTAATTCTGTGGGAAATTAAAGAAGATTTTACCTAGTCCTGTCAATTGTAATCCCAACATCACAAACAGTACTTGTGGGATTGCAACTTGATCCTTTCTCCACCTTCGAAATTTGTCGGGGCTCTTTTAAAGTGGGATATTGAAATTTCCAATTTGACTTTTGCCAATTCTGACACACATTTCCAATTTTTTTAAGGACACGAAAGTCCAGCCTATAACCTCTGGTATCTTGGACAGAAATGAGGAGAAATGTCTTCATTCAGAGGTTGTGAATGACTTTCCAAAAGGCGTGTGTATATTCAATACAGATATCAATAGAATACAGGGCACTAAGATACTTGATGGATGTGAAGTTAGGGTGTAAAAGTCTAATTAAACCATATGTTTATGGAATAACAGAGCAAGCTTGAAGCACCTTTGGCTTGGTGCTGATCTTATTTCTTGTGCTCTTATAACCCTGTGCCTGTAAAACTGTTCCTGGTTGTGCTGAAGCGCTCGTCACAATTACGTGATGAGTAACTTACCTTTTAAGGAAACTGCATCCAATTAATTTTGTATACTGTATGCTAGAATCCATCAGGCTTCACTACATGTCTTTCACTAGTCTATACTTAATAATTATTGTATTTTATTTCTCTTTGCAGCATTAAATCGGTTAGAAGAGTCCAAAAATGTGGATGCAAAGTTTGTGGAAGAAATAGCACTGAAGCAGACATTAACTTTCCTTGGTCTTGAAAATAAGTAGAAATATCAAGGATAGATTAAAGGGGAAAACATCAATACTGATATCTATCAAGAGTTAACAACTGTCAAGAGATATGATTTTTTTGATTATTTGCCACATGTATAATAGCAGAAGTGCCAAGATACGCTAAAGTACTACATGATTTGTTAAAAAAGACAGAGCAGTCTATGGCCTAACCATATATGTATGGGTTTCACTTAATTGTCAACACTAATTCTGTTTGTTGAATTGCATTGTGATTTTTCGGATTCTAAGCTGAGCAACAACAGTGTTCAGAGGCATGATTTCTGAGAATGATGGCTGTAATCTCACAATAATGGACATGTAGAAGCCTGTGGTTGATCCTAATTTATGCTTTCAAATGTCATGGTAAGAATTTTAAGAAAGCCAAACCTCACTAACCACAATGCTGAGTGATTTTTAAAGAAAACAGTCAAATTACAACAGTGTTATTAATTTACTTCATAAATATTTGACCATAATAGTTAATCTGTAAGATGTTTAGCAATAGATGGTGTAGTATCTGTAGTTTTTGGTGCATGATTATGTAAGATATATGTTTTTTCTAAGCGATGATTAGAAAAAATATTACTTTGAAATGTTTTAAGAGTATCAAGAAAACATTGCATCGAATACAATAGAAATACAACCTGTTTTGAACACAGGCAGTTGATATTCTACTATCTACTTCAATATTTAACATATAACTGCCGTTTAAAGAAAGTTTGATCAGAAATTAGCAATTCATTTGTAAAATTTGGTCTTTGATGTTAGCTGAAAAGAATGTATTTCTCTGGAAGTGATCTGTAGACCAGACATTGCTCAGTGAGTGAGCATTTGTAGAGTATGCAGTCTTTCACTTAAAATGCTTGAATTTTTGATGTCACAAATGGGAATCAGTTGTTTCACATGATAACAAAGCTACTTCTTTCTGCATGTAAAGTTATGTAAGAATTTATTTGGAACAGAATGTACATAAATACAGAAATTTATTTTTATGGTTTAAGGGAAACACACAGATTGAAGAAATACATGTTAGTTTATTAGCAGAGGTCTTAGCTGAAACTGGATGTGTAAGACAGTTGTTCCTGAAGAAGGAATATAATTTTAAAATTATTAAGAAGTAGGTTACCCCAGTGTATAAGGTTTTCGAGTAGATTTGTAGCTCAGGTTGTGGATGTTGTAGTTGGTTAGCTCGCCGAGCTGGTTCGTTGTTTTCCACAGACGTTTCTTTACCCTGCTAGGTAATATCATCAGTGCAGCCACCGATGAAGCACCATTGTGTTTTCCCACCTAGTTTTTAAACTCTAGTGTCTGTTGAGCTGGATTACCTCACTTCCGGTTTTCCTTCGCAGAGGAGTGTATATGGGGTTGAGTTCTATGTGTTTGTTGATGGCTTTCTTCGTGGAGAAGGACGGCACTTCATCGGAGGCTGCACTGATGATATTACCCAGCAGGGTAACAAAACATCTGCGAAACAACAAACCAGCTCAGCGAGCCAACCATCTACAATACCCCAGTGTATGTAGTTTAAAGTTCCAGACCAGAAGTCTTTAGCTAAAACCTGAAGGGGATAGTTAAAGCTGAGAAAGTCAATGATGAGTTGTACAAAAACACAGGGAAGAGGGTATTTGATTTTTCAAGACTGGGAATTAAACCCATGTTAACTTAAGCTCTGTAGATATGATAGAGAAGGGAATTCTCTCTGATGCGATTACTGTGAAAGAGTGCTTGGGATTAATGGGATTACATTTAATTGTGAATATTTAATTTGAAACCTTTAAGCTGCTTTTATATGTAAATAGCTAGTTTATTCTGTTTTATTTCATTTCTTTTCCATATTAATCTTGTTTTATTGTTAAAACCAAATCTGCAGTGTTACATGTACAAAAGGCCATCTCATTAAAGCCTTACGAGAAACCAATATAATATATCGTCAGATTTCAGTCTGGGATCTCACTTGTTCAGCTGGCATTATAACAAGTGGCTCTACTGATATATTTATGATTCCTCCATTACTTCCCTGCTGTTCCTGCTACTTCGCCACCAGTACTTTCACTGTTGACACATAACCTGAACTTCAGCCTATGTGCATGCTGTGTCAGTTAACGAGCCATTACATGGAAGTGCTCCTATTGCCTGAAATTGGGAAACTCAGACCTTGCGAATGCTGGAGAAACTCAGCAGGTCTGACAGCCTCCGTGGAGAAAGAAAGTGGTGGTCTGCCTTTAGGTCTGGTGTGACTGTTCAGAATTGCTTCAGTTTCTCCAGAATTCTGTTTGTTTCAGATTTCTAGCATCTGCAGTATTTTGCTGAAATTTCAGACCTTTCATAACTAGTAAAACAATGGCAACTTTTTAATGCTTGAAGTCAGTTGACTCTTGTACAGATTCACTTTTAAAAATGCTCTGCAATGTATAGTATAAAGTTAAATTGTTTAACCTGGAATTTGCATTCCGAAAAGCATTAACATGCCCTCTGGATTACTAACCCATTGACAGTACCACTGTCATCATCGCTTACTGGCTATTTGGAAATGAAATTCCATGTCTACATGCTGCAGTATACCAGTGGGTATTCTGCAGTTTTGTTTAATTTACCTTTTGGCTAAGGAGAAACTTTATAGGCCATTCAGATCATATAATAGATTAAATATTGCATGCAAGTGAAGGAATTGATATGATGAGCAAACTGGTTTTATTTATTTCATAACAAAACTAAAAGAACTGTGAATGCTGGAAGTTACAAACAAAAACAGAAATTGCTGGAAAAACTCAGCAAGTCTGACACGTGGGCTGAAATTAAGACTGTGTGTGTCCTGTGTCAATTTAGCAAAAAACTCAGCAGGACAGCCAGCATTTGTGGCCTGCTAAATTGACACAGGACACACACAGTCTTAATTTCAGCCCACGTGTCAGACTTGCTGAGTTTTTCCAGCAATTTGTTTTTGTTTCTGACTTCTTTCATGCTTTCTTATTAGACTTATCTTTATACAGCGAATACTAAATTTAGTAGATTGTTTGATTATTCTGTTGTACATGATGTATTGTTACTATTGATATAAAGATTGTTTAAATTAAGAATTGGCAAGTTAAGATAGACCCTAAACTGTTAATTTTGTGACATCCATTTGGAGATGTTTGCGGTGTGTGCAATTTCCTAAGCGGAAGTATTCCTTGTATCTGCATTTACAGTTTCTACTGTGTTTTTTCCCTTGTGATTTTTTCACATTGGTAGCTTAACATATTTGACTGCCATAATTTTCTGTTTTGAAGCCAAAAACCTGTCCCCTTCTTTTTCTTCGATCACTGTGAGGTGATATTAAACCATGAGAACTAACGTCTCCTAAGAACAAACCCCAAGAGTTAGATATATCTCGGGTTTTATCGTGTGGACCAATGCGCTCATAGTAATAAAAGAAGCCTTCAGGTTAAAAACATCATTATTCCCTGACTCACACTCAGACATTTTCAAGTTTCTTTTCCTTACTCGAGGTAAACGAATTGTTAAAAATTGATTATTATGAACTCCAGTTACCCCGGTTTTTCTCTACATTTTATTCTAATTTTTTTCAGTGAACTAATAAAACTCCAAACTTCCAAATAAATCCGGCAGAGTATTATATCTGTTATGTGGATTGGTAACATGTCCTATCTGCTATAAAAACTAAAATTGGGAAATCCTTTCTTGTATTTTATATGCTTTCACCACAGATGTATGTCCAGGGAATCACAGAAACTTGTACCTTGCCTTGAAACTCCAGCATTTTGAAGATCATGTAGATTCACTTGTTACTGAAGCGCGTGACGCGTATGCTGAAATTTTCATAATTGAACATACTTTAACCCTAGAACCCCAGGTAAGTTATATATGATTAGTGTTACTATCTTCATAGAGTTTTTCACAGAGGGTGGTGCATGTTTGGAATGAGCTGCCAGAGAAAGTGGTGGAGGCTGGTACAATTGCAAAATTTAAAAGGCATCTGGATGGGTACATGGATATGGGCCAAATGCTGGCACCACCCTCTGAAAAGGTTGGCCATTGGTCCCTTTTAAATCTTAAAGATAGTCAGGCCTTGGACACTACCCTGAGGGAACTCCTGCAGCGATATCCTGATACCAAGATGAGTGACCCTTAACAATCTCAATATTTACCTTTTGAGCTTGGTCTAACTCCAAACAGCAGAGACTTTTACCCCAAGTCCATTGGCTTCAGTTTTTTTTTCTACACTCCTTGAGGTCAAATGCAGCCTTTAGGTCAAGGGCAGTCACTCTCACCTCACATCTGGCGTTCAGCTATTTTGACCTGTTTTGAACTAAGTCTATAATGAGGGCAGGAGCTGAATGGCACTGATGGAACCTAAACAGAATGTCACTGAGCTAGTGCTGCTTGATAACACTAGTGATGAAGAGTAGACTGGTCTGACAATCTGACAGTAATTGGCCAGGTTGGATATATCCTGCTTTCTGTGTATAGGACAAAGTTGGGGGCAATTACATTATTAGGTAGATGCTAGAATTATAGCTGTATTTGAACAGCTAGGCTAGGAGTGTGGCAAATTCTGGAGCGCAAGTCTTAACTACTATTGCCAGAATGTTGTTGGAGCCTATAATCTTTGCAGTATCTAGTATCATAAGTTCTTTTTTGATATCATACACAGTGAATCAAATTGGTTAAAAACTGGCGTCTGTAATGCTGGGACCTCCAGATTCCATACAAGTTAAAGGTTTTAATCAAAGTAAGGTACATTTTTAATGGTATAAGACAAGAACTTCCAAAAGTTAATTGGAGTAGACTTTTCACGGGTGAAAGGACATCTGACAAGTGGGAGGCTTTTAAGAGTGTAATGACGAGAGTTCAAAGGCATTATGGTCCTGTTAGAGTGACGAGTAAGGAAGATAAGATTTAGGGAACAATGAATGAATAAAGATATTGATGTTCCAGACAAGAATAAAAGAGTATCTTATATTTGATATAGGCAATTGGATTCTAATGAATCTCTTAATCAATATAAAGAGTGTAGGAGCACTCTTAAGGAAATCAGAAAAACAAAAAGGGGATATGAGAGCATTAGCAGATAACGTTAATGATAATCCAAACAGATTCTACAAATACGTGAAATGTAAGAAGGTAACTAGACAGAGAATAGGGCCCCTTTAAGATCAAAGAGGTCATCTTTTTTGTGGCACAAAGGAAGTAGGAGATTTAATAAATTAATAATGTTTTTACTGTGGAGAAAGAAATGGACGCTAGAGAACTCCGGGAAATAAATATTGATGTTTTAAAAACAATTCACATCACAGACAGGAAGTTCTTACTTGAGAAAGGATGTACTGGCACTGGAGGGGGTGCAAAGGAGGTTCACTAGGTTGATTCCGGAGTTGAGGGGGTTGGCTTATGAGGAGAGACTGAGTAGATTGGGATTATATTCATTGGAATTCAGAAGATTGAGGGGGGATCTTATAGAAACATATAAAATTATGAAGGGAATAGATAAGATAGAAGTAGAGAGGATGTTTCCACTGGCAGGTGAAGCTAGGACAAGAGGGCATAGCCTCAAGATTGGAGGGAGCAGATTTAGGACTGAACTGAGAAGGAATTTCTTCACCCAGAGGGTTGTTAATCTATGGAATTCCTTGCCCAGTGAAGTAGTTGACGCTACTTCAGTAAACGCTTTTAAAACAAAAGGTAGATTTTTTTGAACAATAAAGGAATTAAGGGATACAGTGAGAACGCAGGTAAGTGGATCTGAGTCCACGAAAGGATCAGCCATGATCTTATTGAATGGCGGAGCAGGCTCGAAGGGCCAGACGGCCTACTCCTGCTCCTAGTTCTTAAGTTCTGGTGGTCTTCAAGAATATAAAGGTGGATAAATCTCTGGGATCTGATCTAATGTATCCCAGAATGCTGTGGGAAGTAAGGGAGGAAATTGCGGCATCATTTGCAGAAATATTTGCATCATGCAGGACTATGGGTGAAGTGCCTGGAGAGTGGCTAATGTTGTGCATTTGTTTAAGCAGGGTTGTAAGGAGAAACCAAGGAATTATAGACCTGTGAGTCGGTCTTTGGTTGTGGGTAAGTTGTTGCAGTTAATTCTAAAAGATACACTATAAATATTTAGAGAAGCAAAAATTTTTGATTAAGGATAGTCAGCTAGGTTATGTGCATAGAAAACTATCTTCCAAACTTGATTGAGTTTTTTGAGGAAGTTACCAAAAAGATTGAGGGCAGAGCAGTAGATGTTGTTTACTTGGAATTTAGTAAAGCCTTTGGCAAGGTTCCACGTTGTAAACTATTTAGTAAAGTTAGGTCACATGGGATTCAGGGTGAGCTTGCCAAATGGATACATAATTGGCTTAACAGCAGGAGACAGAGTGGTGGTAGAAAGTTGCTTTACAGACTGGAGGCCTGTCACTAGCAGTGTTCCATAGGGATTGGTTCTGGGCCCTCTTGTTTATCATATCATTTATATAAATGATTTGGATGAGAATATAGAATGTGTGGTCAGTAAGTTTGCAGACAACATAAAAATTGGTGGCATAGTAGACAGTGAAGAAGGTTTTCTAAGATTACAAAGGGATCTTGATCAAATGGGTCAATGGGCTGAAAAATGACAGTTGGAGTTCAATTTGGATAAATGCAATTAAATGATACAACAAACAGGGGCAGGACTTGTACAATTAATGGTAGGGCCTTCGGTCATGTTGTAGAACAGAGGGACTGAGGGGTTCAGGTACATCATTCTTTAAAGTTTGCTTCACATATAGACATGGTGGTTAAGTCAGCAGTTAGCATGCTTGTCTTCATTGCTCATCCTTTGAGTATAAGAATTGGGAAGTCATGTTGAGGTTGTATTGAACATTGAGGCTTCTTCTGGAGTACTGTGTCCTGATCTGGCTGCCCTGTTATAGGAAGGATATTAAGCTGAGAAGAGATTTACCAGGATGTTGCTGGGTTTGGAAGGTTTGAATTTGGATAGACTGGGACCTTTTCACTGGAGCATAGGAGGTTGAGTGGTGGCCTTATACAAGTTTACAAAATCATAAGATTATAGATATGGTTAATGGTAAGTATCTTTCCCTAGGGTAGGGGATTTTAAGGCTCAGGAGGCATACTTTTAAGGTGAGAGGAGGGAGATTTAAAAAAGACATAAGGGGCGACGTTTTTACAGAGGGTGGCTCACGTGAACTTTGAGGAAGTGGTGCATGTGGGCACAGTTACAACATTTAAAAGTCACTTCGATAAGTACATGGATAGGAAGGGTTTGGAGATATGGGCCAGAAGCAGGCAGGTGGGACCAGTTTAGTTTGGGATTGTGTTTGGCATGGACTGGTTAGACCAAAGAATCCATTGCCATGCTGTATGACTCTTGAGTCTGAGGCTGAGATGGATCATTCATTTGGCCACTTCTGGCTGAAGATCGTTCCAAATGCTTCAGTCTTTTGCACTGATGCATTGGATTCTTCCATCACTGAAGATGATTGTGTAGCTGCCCTCTTCAGAGAGTTGTTTGATTTGTCCACCATCATCTACAATTGGATTGACAGGATTGCAAAGCTTAGATCTGATATGTTAATTGTGGAATTGCTTAGCCCAGTCTGTCACCTGCTGCTAATACTATTTTGCAAGTTGCCAGAAGTCCATAGGGTTGCACTCTCATTAGAGAGAGATGACTGGTGATAGTTTAACCTGAGGGTCACCATGACTCGGGTGAGGGGCAGTGTTGAGAAGGTGGCATCTTGCACGATGGCTCAGTGGTTAGCACTGCTGCCTCACAGCGCCAGGGACCTGGGTTCGATTCCACCCTCAGGTGACTGTCTGTGTGGAGTTTGCACATTCTCCCCATGTCTGCGTGGGTTTCCTCCGGGTGCTCCGGTTTCCTCCCATAGTCCAAAGACTGCAGGGTAGGTGGATTGGCCATGCTAAATTGCCCATAGTGTTCAGGGAGGTGTCGATTAGGTGGATTATAGGGGGATGGGTCTGGGTGGGATGCTCTGTGGGTCGGTGTGGACTTGTTGAGCTGAAGGGCCTGTTTCCACACTGTGGAGATTCTAAGAAGATCAGCTGGTGTGGAAATTGAGCTCGCACTGTTGGTGTCACTCTGCATTGCATCCAGTCATGCAGCTAACTGAGCTAACCAACTCTCAGTGGCACTCTGGTAGTCTTGTGTTGTAGCTTCACCAGGTTGTCAGTGTACTTTTAGGTATGCCTGATGCTGCTGCTGGCATGCTCTCCTGCACTCTTCATTGAATCCGGATCAGTTCTGGTGTTTAATGGAGATGACAGAGTGGGGGATCTGCAGTGCTATGAGGTTGTAGATTGTGTTGGAATACAAGTCTGTTGGTACTGATGGACCACATGGCCTTATAGATTCACAGTCTTTGAGTGGCACAGTCTGTGCAAAGTCTATCCCATTTAGCATGGTGATATGTTACACAATACAATGGAGGCAATTCTCAATGTGTAAATGGTACTTTATTTGCACAAGGATTGTGCAAAGCTCCCAACCAATATTGTCATGGATAGGTGCATCTGTGCCAGGCAGATTGGTGAGGATGAGGTTAAATATGTTTTTCCTTCTTGTTGACCCCTTCCCCACCTGCTGCAGACCTATTTGAACATCTGCATATTTTAGTTATGGTGCTGCTGAGCCACTCTTGGTGATGGACATTGCAGTCATCCACACAGAATACATTCTGCACTCTTACCAGCCTTAGTGCTTCCTCCAAGTGGTGTTCAACATGGAGTTCTGATTCATCAGCTGAGGGGGATTGGTAATGTGTTCATCAGCTGGACGGTTTCCTTGTTCATATCTGACCTTATGCCATGAGACTTCATGGAGTTCAGAGTCAATACTGGGGACGCCCAAGACAACAACCCCCTGACTGCTACTGTGCTGCCACCTTCGCTGGGTCTGTCCTGGCAGTGGGACAGGACAAACATGGATGATGATGATGGTGTTGTCTCGCACATTGTGTGTAAGATATCATTCTTTGAATATGACTGCTCACGTAGTCTGAGACAGTTCTCCCAATTTTGTACTCCCAAGATGCTGATAAAGATTACTTTGCAGGGTCAACAAGGCTGAATTTGCCGTTGTTCCTTCCAGTACCAAAGTTGATGTCAAGTGGTTCAGTTTACTTTTTTTTTTGAGGCTGTTTAGTAGTTAGCTACAACTTAGTGATTTCTTAGGCCATCGCAGAGTGGCAGTTAAGAATTAGCTACATTTATATGAAGGGCAGACCAGGTAAGGACAGCAGAATTTTTACAGCAACTGACAATGGTTTTATAGTCATCTATTACACTTTTGATTCCAGACTTTATTGAATTCATGTTCATTAAATTTGAACAATGGTCCCCAGAGTATTACCTGGGTGTCTGGATTACTAGGTCAGTGATAATACCATTGGGCCATTGACTCCTAAATTTTCTAGATTCATGGCAATACATAAGTACAAGTTGCTGATTATATTATAAAATTCGTCCAGATAACTTTAGCAACAACTGCTGGCTATTATGCAGCAAAAATGTTTCTTTATCAAACATTAAATTAATTTTGTATAATTGTTTTCTTGATAACATCTTTTGTAGAATCTAATTTAGATAGTTAAACAGGAGATCATTACATTATTCAGTCACTTTATAAACCTGCATTGGATTAAGACACAATGTGGAACCCTCAGAAAATGCCAATTTAGCACATTGTGGTTTAATTGTGTAGAAAGATAATAGCTGAACAAAATATGTTTTCCCTGATAATTCTCTAAAACCTAACACAGTAGATTGAGAAACGAACTTGAGTTATAATTGATCACCTTCTATGGCAAGAACAAATTTGTAGCAAAAGTTTTAACATTGGCATCTTGCATCTGTTTTCGGCATTTTCAATTCAGTACTTTTATCAAACGAAATAAAGTATCTTGGAAGACAATCTAATTTCAGTTTAATAGAAAGTGTCAGAGTTTAGTTAAGACAAATTGATCTGCATATGTAAGTCTATCGAAACAAAGCTGAAAATTATACACTACCAAGAAATTAAGATCTCTTTAAATTTTAAAAAGTAGCAATTTGTAAATAATTTATCCTTTTAGCTGCTCTATTATCAACACAAATAAAATGTTTCCTTGTAGGTGGATCCAGGAGTATAATGTGATGATTTTTAGAATATAGTTATCTTTATATTTCAATTGGCTTAATGACTGGTTTTCTATAATGTCGCATGTGTGCACTGGGCTCACTGGGTTTAAATGGAACCATTTTTCCATAAGGTCGTGGAATAGGTAGTCCAGATTCACCATCTGGGATATATGCATTCGGCCTCGGCTCAGCTGTTGTAAAGACTCCACCGGGCAATAAATGCTTTTCTTCCTCTTCAGTTTCCTGATTTGGGAATAAAATAGGTGAAAGTGTCACCACTGTTTGTTATTAATCTAGTTGCTAAATTTTGAGTGATGCAAAAAAGTTCAATGGATTTGAAGCGTACTGGGATGCGCCTAGAGGGTGTTTAGTAACATGTTGTAATTATATTGTGTTCAATTTAGGGAGACAGCTCTGACTCATAGGTCATCAGATTTGTTACAGTAATACAAGTGAGTAATGAATTTTTCAACACATAGGAATAATTGATTAGGAACATTATTCCAAACCAACTGCCATGTTATTTTTGATTTTTTTTCTTGTTGAACAGTATTAACACACCTGCTATTTAAGTAAATCTTAGGTTTTTATTCTAGGTTAGGATTGAATGCAGCAAAGGCAAAATAACAGCATAAGATTTTCAATTACTAAATGACATCTTAAGTTTCAATATGGCAGGCAGAAAGCAAATGCAAATGCAAATACACATGCACATTACCGCCACATGTGAACAATCAACCATACTAAATAGGGTATGGAAGTTGGGAACATTTTAGGCACAGAATTCATTTAACTTCAAATCCTGTGTGCCATTTACAATCTTCAAATACCATGAAGTTTCATTCATCTTGTGTTGCAGATTCATTGTAAAATATGGCAGTAACTGGCGGGAAGGGTTTTATGCATCTCTTAGTACAGGTGCAGTAGGAGCAGAAGTTGGTAAAAGAATACAGGTCACCATTTTTGCCATCATTGCCCTTCCTGCTGATCAATACCGCTCACTGCCTTGACTCCTAGGACCCATGATCTCTTTTTTTTTTTTTTTTTTTTTTCTCCCCTCCCTTTCTATCCCAAGTCATGCAAATTCAAATCCCAAACTACACATGATTTCCATACCACATTGCGGCCTGCACTTAAATAAGGGTGTTCCTTCTGTCACACCAGCTTCATGTTAATAAGGACTAATATCTTGGGCTCCATTGTGTTTCAGTATTTGAGCTCAGTGTCCCTCCTCACTCCATTCTTTCCTATTTGCCCATAAATAGATACGACTGAATTTTTGTTAGTATATCTTAAATTGCATTTGCTATTCCCATAATTAATTTTTTGATTGTTGAAATAAACTGTGAATTTCATACCTTGGTTTTCATCTCAATCTCTCTTTTGTGTCTGTTTTCTTTATTCACTATTTTTAGCCACTCTGATTCAAATTCTTCACTGGGTGCCATTCCCTGCTCCATCCGTTGGTAACATGACTCCAGAAATTGTTGCTTATCCCTGACATCCTGTTGAAGTTGCATGGCATTGGCCTGTTGCATGGACAGCTCGGAGACCACGGCCATCATCTTCCGTGTAACATCTTTGACCTTTCCTTGCATTTCATTTACCTGTAAATTTCATGAAAATCCTTCTAATTCAGACAAATTCTCTTAAACAACATATCAGTTTTAATACTTATTGAAATCACAGTTGTAATTAACTTAATTTTTCAATAACCCAGGTGGCTAATTGAAATTGCCGCTGGCTAAAAGTAGTGTGGACTGTAATGAACATTTTAAAATTTGAAGTAATTTGATCAGTACTATTTGTAATATTATCTATAAAAGTGCAGGAAGATTTAGATAAACAGTCCCCATTAATAGTTATTCATTCTCCCAGGCTGATCGTTATCCACTCCTTTTGTCTATCCAACTGTAGTTCTCTCTCTTTGGGCTGTATCCCCACCTATCACTTACTCCTTATGTCCTCCCCACCCCCATCTTGTGCATAAAAACTTAGATTTTCCAAGCTACCATCAGTTCTGAGGAAGGGTCACTGGACTCAATACATTAACTCTGATTTCTCTCCACAGATGCTGCCTAACCTGATGAGCTTTTCCAGTCATTTCTGTTTTTGTTTCTGATTTCCAGCATCCGTGGTTCTTTGGTTTTTTATTGAGATAGAGATTATTGCTTGCTTAACCTTAGAGACAAAGATATTGGATCATAAAAATCTGTCCTTGTTTCCAAACCTCCTGCCTATGTGCTATTTGAAAATGCATAATTTTGTATGTTTATTTTTGACTTGTCAGCTTGGTTGCATTAAGACAATACAAAGAATGAGTGTGATATCAAAGAATTCTGACTGCTGACAGCATAACAGTTACAGATGCACAAGATTTCTTGTCTGTGGTTCGAAAAAGGTTGTATATTGAGAGAGATCCTTTAAAATTTATAAATGTGCCTGATGAGAGAAACATGCAAGATGACACACAACCAATGTGCAAGGTGGCATGAATTTAAGTTCTGGTGCAGAGGATTCTTGAGAAATTCTGAGATGGTCTATAGAAATCCGCAGAAACAGGTAGGAAACTGATTTTTTTTAAAAAAAGTCCTTTCAGTTGGCCAATTTAAAGGACAAATATTTCTCAAAGATAACAACTTTAAAATCTAAGATTACTATGGATCTCCAGACGGAAAGCCAGATAACGAACCTATTTCTCAACAAATTCCTAATGAGCAGTGGTCTCCATTTTGTGTAATTGACAACATGTTATTTACAACAGCAGATAATCTGATTTCAAACAGTAATGTTAGAAATACATAGTTGGTCCTAGCAGAGAAATTGGCTATCATCTCAAATGGCCTGTGCTGATTAATATATTACATGAGTTTTCTCTCACTAATTATTTTCCCAACCTTGCCTCCATAACTATATATTCAATTTTCCTCCGATGTGTTTCAAACCTTTATACATGTGGTATTGAGTGCACATTCATACCACTATGTGTAAAGAAATTCGAATTAAATTCTTCACTTTTAGTAGCTATTTAATATTTATTATCCCTTGCTATGGTTTACCTGTAAATGAGTTCCTCAAGTTTCTCCATATTCGTCCTATCGAACTTTAACTTTAAAGACCTGTATCAGGTGTCCACAAAGACTCTCTTCTAGCTCAATCTGATAGCTATATCTTCTCAATTTTGGTAACATTTTTGTACATTTTCATCATTGTTTCAATGTATTTCATATAGTATGGAGACCTGAACAGCACACTGCCCTTCCAAGTGGGGTTCAGTCAAGATTTTATACAACTAATAATTCTCAGCTAAATGAAGGAGAGCATGCATGAATACTACAAGACCATGACAACATACAGACTTGGGCTGGCAAGTGCTAGGCAATGAAAGTTCCAACAAGACAGAGCAATCACCTGCCCTTCAATGGTATCACAATAGTCAAATCCTCCCTCAACAACATTGAGTTCACCATTGACTTACGTTCAATTTTATCTTCCCCCTCTATTTATCCATGGTATCTCATTCTTGGCCAACTTCTTATGTTATTATGCAATATGTTTTCCTTGATTTCTGTAGTTTTCTTTACATAAGTATTGCCCATTTTTCTAATTCGTTGTCATTCTTCTTCATTAGCATGTCTTCTTTAGACTTAATTTTCATTTCCTCAGTGTTGTTTATTCTCCTACCAACCTATTTACTTCAGTCTTATACAATCTGTATCTGTGTCAAACTGTGTTATAGAATGCATCATAAAACATGGAAACAAACCCTTCAATCTAACTCATCCATGCCAACTAGACATCCTAACCTGACCTAGTCCCATTTGCCAGCATTTGGCCCATATCCCCCTAAACTCTTCCTATTCATATATCCATACTGGTCCCTTAAATATTGTAATTGCGCTCACCTCAAACATTTCCTCTGGCAGCTCAATACAAACATGGAACAATGTTTGTATGGAAAATGTTACCCCTGAGGTGCTTTTTAAATCTTTCCCCTCTTACCTTGTATGCTCGTTCTTTAGTTTCAGACTCCCCCACCATAGGTAAAAAAGACCCCTTGGCTCTTCATCCTACCAATGCGCCTTGTGATTTAAAGCATAGTTTTAAAATTTCTTTCATGGCATGTGGGCATTGCTGGTAAGACCTATAATTGTTGCCCATTCCTAATTACACTCAAACTCAGAGACAGGTTTGATCATTTTGGGCACATTTAAGAGTCAATCACATTACTATTACATTGTGATCACTATTTCTTAGACATTTTTCCACAATTACTTTATTTGTTCCAACTTAGTTCTCATTATTAGGTTTAGCAATTTGGTCTCACCTTGTTGGGTTTCTTCTCTGATCCAAGATGTAAACACCAACTTTCTCTTGGCTTAGTTAGAGGTATTTGGAAATTCTCTGTAGTCAGAATTTTGTGTTCTTTTAATCATTTCTACATATTTGCCTACATATTTCATTCACTAATTCCTTGCCCTATTTGTTAATCTGTACTGTACTCGTAATAGTGTGATCAATCCCTTTTCTATATCAATCCACGTGGGCTGTGTTTTAATCTCTGTTAAAAATGACTGTTTGTTTGTTTTTTGTACTTCCATTATCTTATATTACATTAACATACCAACCCACTTACTTCCCTATCATTTCTAAATAAATTATAGCTTGAAATAGTTGTGTCCTCTTTGCATCCATGTTTTTGACTAGCATATTGCATTTACATCCTGCTTCTAATTATTGCCTCCAGTTCCCCATTTATTTTCTGATGCTTGGCTGTTATTTTTCATTCTGGCTATCTCTCCACCAAGCAGCCTCACTGACTAAGGGTTGTTAATCATGACTCCACACATCTGTATGCTACTATATCACAATGGAACAAGGATAAGAAGCAGTCCCAAAATACGCATTGGTATTATTAAGTACTCTTCAGCTAACTGAGCCCTTGCATTAATATATCTATATGAATCACATCCCTCTCAATTAGTGAAGTCCTTTCCACAGTCTTACTCTATGAAGACCTGGGTCCTTGTAGAGCTCCATTGTCTCCCATTACTAGTGCCAGTATTCCATTAAGTAGAATCCCTCTAGCCCAAACTCCTTATTCAGCCAGGCATTTGCTTGCCATATGTTTTTCTTTAAGCTGTTTAGTAAATGGTTTGGGTAATAATTTGAAGATCAGTTACCACCCTGGGTGTTCTGCCTTTATTAATGTTGTGCCCAGTTCCTGAAGCATATTTGGCAAGAGTGGCAGGTTTTAAAATTTTTTTTAAGTTTGAAAACAACTGTACTGCATCATGAGTAACCACAACCAAGCACCACACAGCTGCGCAAAAACACTGCTATTCTTTTGTTATCTACCTTTTAAAAGCACTCCTGTGCAAATTTGGTATCCATCAAGTTGGGCGTTGGGTAGTGGAACAATTTCTATTTCAAACGATCAATATTGGTTATAAATATTCTTTCAGTGAGTTATAGCATGTCCAGATGCAGAATACTGTACTACAATAACATTCTTATATTTTTCACACTGGACCTTGATGTCTGAATGCCAATTATGTTAAAATTAAGCAATTAGGAGTTGAATTGAGATGAGTTAATTAATATCATTTCATTTCATTTTATTCAGTAGCTTTAGAGTACAATGCCCAGAGGTGAGATATCCTTGCAGATTCAGTTCCATAGATGTAAGGGCAGTGATTAATACAAGTTCCAATTGTTGATTCCATTTTTAAAAACTGTACATATTTGGTGTTATTATTTACATGTAAACAATGTGATTGATAAGTAGCAAAATAAAGTCTCATCATTGCAATGATATTTGTAAATAACCAACCTGAGTAACATTTAGCACTGTACTAGTTAATGTTTCAACATACCTTTTTTGCTAAGGTCAGTGTGTCCTGTTTACCATTTATCACTTTAGCATTAATTCGTTCGGAGAGGCGGGTCACCTGATCAGAGATAAGATCCTTTTCCAATAATTGTTCCTCTTTTCTTACCAGTTTTAAGTCCATCTGCAATGATGGAGATGAGTTAAATTAATGGAATATCTGTGCACAGCAAATTGAGACAATGGGCTGAATCTTGTCTTTTTTATCTGTATGAGTTGCATTGGATGTTTTAGAGGGTACTTCACCATGAGGCCTAGTGAGTTTTTTTCACCATATCTTACCAAATCTGCCTTAGTAACTCTGAACCGCATCTATGTGGTGATACTTATGTTCAATTCCAGCTCCATCTTACCATGGGTCATTCCTGGAACAAGTCATCACTGTTGGGATTGGAATTGATAGGCTCCCTTGCACCCGTGCCATCTTTGAAAACCCTTTGTGCACCTGGACAAGCACTGGAGTATGGAACTGCCCTGCTTGGTTCCTGCCATTTGCCCCAGGCAGGGCAGATGGGAGAAATGGGTGCCTTGCTTTGTGGGCAGGGACTAGGGGTGCTGCTGAATGCAGTGGTGCAGATGCAGGGCTTCTCTTCCCTGCAACCAGCAGTGAAGGGCATGGCACTAGAACCTGCTGGTCTGGTGCAAGGTACCACCCAGGTTAGAGCAGCCCCGGTGGTCTGGAGGAGTATCCAGCACTGTAGGAAGATGGTCAATGTCCTTTTGCCAGCATAAGTGCTACCATCTTCTCTTGATACCTTGAATTTACTCTATCTCGGCTAGTGTACCCACCTTCCAAAGCTCGTGCTCTATCATTCTCGTTATCGCCTGTACATCTTTCCACTCACTGACCACCCCAACCCCTGACACCACCAACTTTGCATGTCCTTAGTGCTGTCTTTACTTGCTGGGATACCTCTCCACCTGGGCAAAAGCAACAGCAGTGCCACCTATTTTAATCTCCCTTAATACTTGCCTCTTTCTCTTTCGGGAAGAAAACAGCACGCATCAAGACACAGTCAAAACAGGTGATGGGCTGGCCAATACTTGGCTCCTCACCCCTCATGTGGAAGGCATCCTGACTTTGACTGACTGTCTAAAGCCCTGGACTGATATCGCAAGCTGTCCTTGACTTACTGTGCTGGAACTGCCCTGAGCAAAAAACTACTACTCTTGATTTAACTGAGGCCTGTTGACAATTATGACAACCTTCTTGCCTCTACGCCTATGCTAAAGGGATCAGCAAGATAGGTAGGAAGAGTGCACAAAGGCAAAGCAATGCAAGGCAGGTAGGCTCAGAGAAGTCAACATTATGGCAGTGTGTGAAAAGCCTGAATGCAGTCTGGTCCAGTCAATGAACTGGGTGCTAGTTGTTGAGTGCATAATCTCCTTGCTGCAGCATAATAGTTGCTGCTGCATAAGGGCTTTTAGATACTGGCACATATTGGATGCCATTGTCCAAGAACACGGGATACGTGTGGCCAGTGGATCATGCCCTGAGATGTTGGTGCCTAGTGTCCAACATGGAGGTTCCTCAAACAACTTGTCAAGCTGAGCTCATCTGATACTCGCTCTGATTTCCATGTCAAGATTTCTCAATGTCCAGCTTGTTTAGCTTGGTAGCTTGGTAAAATACGAAGCTAAATATTAATGAGGTGAATTGAGCCATTCATAACAAAAACCCATTGCTGGAAAAACTCTGCAGGTCTGGCAGCATCTGTGATGAGAAAGCAGAGTTAACATTTTAGGTCCAGTGACTCTTCTCCAGCTCTATTAATTCTGAAATGTTAAATCTGCTTTCTGTCCACAGATGCTGCCAGATCTGCAGAGTTTTTCCAGCAATTTCTGCTTCTGACTTCCAGTATCTGCAGTTCTTTTGGTTTTTTGAGCCATTAATAAGGTGTTTAACAAGCTATTGTCACCCTTAATTGGTAACTCACCAGCTGTCTGGCTTGTCAAAAGCATAAAAGATGGCATGAGAATCTCCCAATTTCAAGATAGACCTCCCCAGGCTTCATGCCTGAGTCTGCTATAAATTTTGCCATAGCTGATGTTGCTCAGACCCCAATAAGATTTCACCCAATGAAACAGAAAAAAAAAACTTTTTAATTTATGGAGTGTGCCTTTATGCCCAAAGATCTAAAGTCCAAAATACCAGTTTGAGTTGGTAATGTTTTTAAAGCTGGTGATCAGCTTTTGGTAGTTTAAAAGAATATAGAAACATGGGAGAAAGTACATAAGATGTTTACAAGAATAACTGAGCAGATGCAATATCCAGAAAAACCAAAATAGGCAACAATCTAAATGGTGACTGGGTAAGGTCTCTAAAATTGTCAAGTTAAACAGAGTAAATGGAATGAAGATGGGGCCATACGATAGGTCAGCAGTAACTAAGAAATTCAGACGAAATTTCTTTACTCTGAGAATGTGGAACCTACAACAATATGGAGTGGTTGAGGCAAGTAATATGGATGCATTTAACGAAAAGCTAAAAATGTGTATGAGCGAGAAAGCGATAGAATAAGATAAATAAATGTGGGACTCGTGAAGAATAGTACGAGTTGAACAGTTTCTTCTAGGTTGTAAATTTAATACAATTTTGTAGGTTTGTGTGGTGTTGATATATTCTTGTTTGTACTTTATTGCTTTGTTTTTACCAGAAGTTAAATGAGAAATGTTGATTAATGATTTCCTTATTTGGGGAAAATGTGTCTTAGCAGCATGGTGTGGTAAACTGGATCCTCCTTTAGTGATTAGTACCATGCTGAGACGTTTCCCTAAATAGTAATGCCATATCATTAGCCGAACACACGCCATTGTTGTCAGTGTTCATATAACACTACTGGAAAATATTTTAGAAAGTATCCAAAAATAATGGTATTGTTTTCAATTAGTGAAAATGTATAATTTGTGTTGGTGAGCTCAGTTGTCTCGACAGCTATTTGATTTGATTTATTATTATCACATATGCCCAGGGACAGTGAAAAGTTTTGCGTACAGTGCAGGCAGATCATACCATACAAAGTGCATTAGAGTAATCGAACAGAGCAATGAATACCCCGTGTAATGGCTGCAGAGAAGCTGCACAAAGAGTGAGATCAACATAAGTTTAAAGCTTGAGAGATCCATTCAGAAGTCTAATAACAGCAGAAAAGAAGCTGTTCTTGAATCTGTTGATGTGTGGTTGAGTTTTTGTATTTTCTGCCCGATGGAAGAGATTATAACCGCGGTGGAAGGGTTCTTTGATTATATTGGCTGTCTTCCTGAGGCAGTGAGAAGTATAAATGGAGTCAATGGATGGAAGGTTGCATGATGGGTTTGCAATGCACAGTAGTGCCAAAAGTGTGGGTTTAATTCCTGCACTGGCTGAAGTTACCATGAAGATTTCATCTTTCTTCATCTCTTCCCCCTTCCCTGAGGCATGGTGACCCTCGGGTTAAACCATCACCAGTTGCCTCTCTGTAATGAGAAAGCAGCCCTATGGTCTGGTAGGGCTGTGGTAACTGTACCTGTTAATAATTTGTGACTGGTCTTCAAGTTACCAGAACATATTTTGTGAACTTTTTACATTTTTTTAAGCCAGCAGCTGGACTTTTTTTTTAACAAATGTAGGCATAAATTTCTCAGTTCTATTAATGGAGGGAAAGACTCGTGGCTGCTATTACTACATGCTGATCATAACATTCACACAGAAAGGATATGTGTTATGGACAGAATTTAGGAAATAAGAAAAGAAATCAAGTTCCTGTTAGAGTGAAAAGTAAAGCTGGTAAAATTAGAGAATAATGGATGAATAAACATATTGAGATTCTAGTCAAGAATAAAATAGAATCATTTTAGATATAGACAACTGGGTTCAAATGAAGCTCTTGAATAATATAAAGAGTGTAGGAGCATTTTTAAGAGGGAGATCAGGAAGGCAATTAAGTTTATGGATAATTCAAAGAGATTCTACAAGTGCATTCCGAGAAAGACAGCAACAAGATAGAGAGTAGGGTTCCTTAAAAGTCAGAGGTCATGTTTGTGTTGAACCTCAGTAGATGGGAGAGATATTAAATGAATATTTTGTGTCTGTTTTTACTGTGGAGAAAGAAATGGGGGCCAGAGAATTTGGGGAAATAAATATTGATGCTTTAAAAACAGTTCATGTTATAGAAGAGGAAATGTTGGAGGCCTTAGAAAACATAAAGGTGGATAAATCACCAGGGCATGATCTAGTGTATCCCAGGACTTTGTGGGAAGTCAGGGAGGAAATTGCAGGGCCCCCCCGCAGAAAGATTTGTATCATCTATAAATACAGGTGATGTGTCAGATGACTGGAGAGTGGCTAATGTTGTGCCTTTACTTAAGATGGGATCTAAGGAGAAGCCTGGGAACTACAGATCTGCGAGTCTGACTTCAGTGGTGGGTAAGTTGTTGGAAGTCATTCTGAAAGGTAGGATTTATATGCATTTGGAGAGGCAAGGAATGATTAGGAATACTCAGCATGATTTCATGTGAGAGAAATCGTGTCTAATAAACTTGATTTGCATTTTTTCAGGAAGTAACCAAGAAGACAGAGCAAAGTGATAGATGTTGTTCATTTGGACTTTGGTAAAGCCTTTGACAAGGTTCCACATGGTAGACTAATTAATAAAGTCAGATCATATGGGAGTCAGGATGAACTTGCCAATTGAATACAAAATTGGCTTGATGGCAAGAGATAGAGTGTGATGGTGGAGGGTAGTTGTTCAGACTGGAGGCCTGTAATCAGTGGTGTTCCACAAGGATCGGTTTTAGGCCCACTTTTGTTTGTCATTGATATAAATGATTTAGATGAGAATATAGAAGGCATGGTCAGTAAGTTTGTGGATGACACTAAAATTGGTGGTACAGTGAAGAAGGTCATCTAAAATTAAAAAGAGATCTTGACCATTTGGGTCAATGGGCTGAAGTGTGGCAGATGGAGTTTAATCTGGATGAATGCGAGCTATTGCATTTTGGTGCAACAAACAGGGGCAAAACTTATACAATTAAAAGTAGGGCCTTGGGTAGTGTTGTACAGCAGAGAAACCTAGGTGTTCAGGTACATAATTTTTTGAAGTTTGCCACACATATAGATAGGGTGGTTAAGAAGGCATTGAGCAC